TTTCCCGCCCAGTGGAAATTAGGATTGAATCCGCCTATAACTGTTTCAACAACAGATATAATTATAATAATTGTGATGGTAGCGGTGGGACTACCACCACTGTTAACACTAGCAGTAGTAGTCGTAATAGCAGCAGCAGTTTCAACGACAGCAGCCGTAACAGGAAGAGCAGCAACAACAGCAACAGCAGTAGTAGTAGCCAAACGCAACGCAACAGAATACGCTCGCCGGAGAACTTCGGAGTGTCGTTGGGCGCAAAAATTAATCACCGCTGCGACCAACACAATGGTTTTTCATCACTTATCGGTTAATACTTTTCTTGGATCTTTAGAGTATGAGAAAACCTTTTTTTAAACGACGAGATTTCCATCTCGTTTTTTTTTTTTTTTTGGGTCATTTGTCAATATTTTTTTTTTTAGATTTATTTTTTCGGTTTTATTCAGGAAAAAAAATTTTTTTACCTACAAAGTTTAAATAAATTTATATTTGCATGCATTTATTTCTTTCTACGTGTTTTCGTAGTTTTATCTTTTTTTTCTTTTTTCTGCCACTGCCGATTTGCGGGGCTACTTTTTTTTCATCAGTTTATAGTTCTTATCCTTCCATGCAGTGCCTGCCTCTGTACTTCCTTTTTTTTTTTTTCTGTTCAATGGATTGTTCTTTGTTTTTCGATAGATTTGGATTACTTCTGTTGTTAACTTATAGGAAGTTCCTATGCCAGCAACGAAAACAAAATCAGTTTCGGCAGCAAAATGTTTAGTCATGCAAGGCCAAAACTTCCCAACAGTAGCAACAGTAGCAGTAGTAGTTGCAATCCGCCAACTACATCGCTTTCATCACGATTTCCTAAACCAACTCAAGTGACAAAGCCATCGTTGTCATCATCGTCGGTTGTAAAAACGCCATCATCAGTTCCGTCAACAACAACACCAGGAACGACAGGTGCTATGGCTGAAGAAATTATTACATCATTTTTGCGCGAAATCGCAATGAAAAAGAGTAGCGAGGCACGAAAATCATCGTCGAATAGTTGTGGTGGTAACGGTGATAAAAAAACTAATTTACGAATTAAAATGGAATATAGGGGCGAAAAATCCTGTATTGAGATGGAACGCCCAGTTGCATTTTCTCTTCTAAAAAAGCACTTGTGCTCAAAATACAGTCGTCAACTTAATATTTATTATACTCTGAGTAACAATGAACTAATTGTTCCAATACGAAATCAGCAGGAGCTAGATCGTGCCGTTGAGCTTCTTGACAAATCAAGTTCACAGAGAAGCCTTAGGCTTCTGTTATCTCAGCACCAGTCAGATTCTGGTATATCAAACTGTTCATCAAGTCTTGGCAGCCCAACTAACTCTCTTCAACCAGATGCGTCTGGAACTTATTCGGCTGTGCCACCAAGGATTGTTGAGGTAATCGATTTCTCGTACATTCTTTCAACAAATTTTTTTCTATTTAGATTAACACTTTTTCAGTTTATTTTTGTGATAAGGAATGGTTGTTTACTTCATTGTGCCTCCTTGTTGGTGGTAGTTTTTAAAAGAATAGTCAATTTTGTTGGTTTTTTTAATAATAAATTGGTAGATCATTTTCAAATTTCTTTTTAGTTTTATGCTAAAAGTTTAAAACAGAAAAAAAAAAAGTTTTTTGCTAAAAGTTTTTTCTGCGTCGATTCACTCGCCTATTCGCATCTTTTGACTAAAATAGGACTTTTTTATAAGATTCTTTGAAGGATAATGGAACTATACCTGCTCACTTCTTAATAGAAACAAAGTCATCTTTCTATTTGGACTGTTGAATGACTTCTTGGTCTATGTAATGCTTGGTAATATTGCATCAAATGTCTTTTAGTTAATCGTAACCTAAATCTTCCTGAACAAGTCTTATTTTGACAGATTTCACCTTCTGAATGTCCATCATCATGCCCAAGCTATCGAAAATATAGTCCAAAAAGTGGAGGTGGTAGTAGTACTAGCAGTGGCATCTTCATACGGGACTATGAGTTTGATGAAAGGAGAGGCATGTGTACTCCTCGAGCTCCGACCAATTGGAAGCAGGGAAAGTGTATCGGGTCTGGAGCTTTTGGCCAAGTCTTTCTTTGTTATGACATAGACACTGGACGGGAAGTTGCATTGAAACGGTAAAAGTTCATTGATTCTTTTATTACTTTTGTAGTAAAACCGTCTTTTTTATTTCATGTCGTGCATGGTTTCCCAAAATTGTTCTTGAAACCTTACCCTAGACAAAAATTAGAGACAAAATAGTTTGTTATTTGTGGAAAAATAAGTTTTATTACACTATTGGAGCAACTGCAGTACCGACTTCCTCATTTCTTACTAGCTGTCCAAAGTATTCATAGATCTCGTGAAACAAGCCTCCTTCTGGCGATGATGAAAATGAGACATTCTCAGATCAAAATCTTTCTTCCACGGTTTTCTAAACTGAAGAAACTTCACTCTGATTTGATTTCCTTCATAACTTTCTTCGAAGCTTAAACTTTTCTATTTAAACTTTCAGATGTCGGTCACTGAAATGCTATAATTTTCAGGCTATACTTTGCTAAGAACGACACTCATCTCCGCGAACAAATCGTTCAGTTAGAAAATGAAATTAATTTACTGAGCACAATACAACATTCTCGTATTGTACAGTACCTTGGAGCTCAACGAACGGAGGACTCTTTATCTATATTCATGGAATACATGGCTGGTGGGTCGGTTAAAGATCTCATATCTACTTATGGAGCGTTATCAAACCCAGTTGCTAGGAAATATACTTATCAAGTTCTTCAAGGGTTAGAATACTTACATCGCAACGAAATGATCCATCGAGATATTAAGACGGCGAACATACTAAGGGATTCTAACGGCAATGTTAAAATCGGCGATTTTGGTTCTGCCAAACGGCTACAAAAGATTTGCAGCCAACAGAGTACATCTAGTTCATTTGTTGGTACTCCTCAGTATATGGCTCCAGAAGTTGTCACAGCGAAGTCATCATATGGTCGAAAGGCTGACATCTGGAGCTTAGGTTGTACACTTCTTGAAATGTTGACCGGCAATCCTCCATGGGACGGATTTGAACCCATGACTGCAATTTTTAATATTGCGCAACGTAATCCTCCTTACCAGTTACCTCCGAATACCGACCCGAGCCTAGCTAACTTGTTATCTTCTCTTTTAGAGAGGAGCCCTGAAAAGAGGCCAAGCGCTGTCGACCTTATAAATAATCACCATGCCTTTAAAGTTTTCAAAGTGACTCAACAGTAAGTGGTTGTTTAGTCGTAGTCAAGTAGCTTTTTATTAGTTTTTGAAATTGTTGTTTATTTATTTTTTTCTAGTCTTCAGAATCATATCCTGTCTTTACATTATGTGATCACCTGCTGGTTACTGTTGAGGGTTTTGTTAGCTGTTTTCCAATTCGAAAGCGACTTCTCTCATTGAAAATAATGATAGCGCTTGTCTGAAATTTCGGCGTAAAGTTTCCACCATTGCCATCACGTTGGCCTTCTCATGGTTTCAGTCATTTAGCAAAAAAAAAAAAAAGTAATTTTTGTGGCTTTTCAAAAAAACTTTCGATTTGGAGACTAAAGGAATTTCGTTCATATGCATACCTTAGGTTGTGTTATATATTTTAATTGTATGTGCCTTTCACAATGGAGTTTTTACGGGCTTATTAAATACCGTGGGTTCAATTAGTCGATAATTGGAAAGAAATTTTATTATCAGCTAAATCTCACTTGTAATTTTCAAATTTTATTCACTTCATGTGTGCTTCTTTTCAATATTTATATTAATTCATTATTACGTTGTCTACGTTTTTTTTTTGTTTATTTTTGCCTTCAAATTTTTCTTATGCGGGCAACTCATTTGCAAAATGTGATTTAGCCGAAATATCTTGGATGTTCTAACACCGGTATGTTTATGGGTATCTGTGATACATAGTCAGCAATTATTTATAAAAAGCTGTATACATATAAATATATATACATATCACTTGTTATGATTAAAATAAAAATAAAGTTTTAGCACTTCAATTTTGTTTCTGGATTGTTCGTTTTTTTTTTTTTTTAGAGTATCTTGGTTTTTGCCATTCATTCGACAAGTGGGACTTCATGCAATACTTTTTCAAAAGCCACTGATTAGGTCTTTGCTAATACCACTCGGTAAGATATTGCTCTTCTATAAATGATGTTTTTTGCATACAATTCCAAGTTCGATTTCTGAAGTCGACGCTTCTGCCAACCAATGCGAGGCGTCTATTCAATGTGGGGTTTCACTACGTATCCGGAACAGTTGTTCCACTGTTACTCCGTTCTACTGGACATAGTTAAATCTTTCCAGATATGTGTAGGTTACCTTACATGTATATATATATATATATATATATATATATATAT